GTTGCAACAGTGACATTCTGCTGACCTTGAGACCTAATACATTCCAAAGCAGACTTCACAGAAAAAATACCAAAATCTAAGCCCCTCCAAATCCTCTTATCTGCACACTCAGTAAAAAAAATACTACCCCTTAAAACATCCTCCATCCTCCATCAGCTGACCCCCCAACAATTCAGCAACACTCTGCAGTTGTAACTGCCCATCAATTAGCAAGTTAGCTACCTTACGATAATGAAGAGGAAGTCCAAAAATCCTGAGAAGAGAGGTCCTAAGCCTAACCAATCATCAGACCAAAAATTAGCTTGCTCCCCATTACCAACTAGCATTTGAGAGTGAGACAAAACAGAATCAAACACATGACCAAGAAGCTTCAACCATCTCAATGCCCTTACTCCAGATAACCTCAGAAAGTGCTTATTCTTGAGGAATTTTTGAGAAAAAAGCTTGGCCCAAAGAGACTTGCACTCCAAAATATTCCACACCTGCTTCATTCTAAAAGAACCCTGAATATCCTCCAACCTCTTTAATCCCAAACCACCTTCAGACTTTGGCATAGTCACCTCCATGACACCTATTGCCTCCTTTTAATGCCAGCCTTATTTAGATCAAATAAAAGCTTCCATTAATGAATTCATCTTGGAAAAGATACCCTTTGGTAAATTCATGCAGGCCAACAAATGGATTGAGATATAATTCAACACAGATTGTGCCAAAACTACGCTCCCCATATGAGATAAAATCCTTGCATACCAATCCTCTATCCTTGACTTGAACCTCTTAATAACATCTTCAAAGAAACATAATCTTGTTTTTCCTTTAAAAAGTGGACACCTAAGGTTGGTAAAAATACACTCTTTAACAGGAATACCAGCCACACTACTCAACATCTGCCTCCTCCCCCCAGCAATCCTAGAAGGACAGTACATAGAGCTCTTCTGCTTGCTGACCTTCTGTCTAGAACTACTCTCTTACAAACCAATGAACCCCATCAAACTATCCATGGATCTCCTATTCCCTTTCAAGAACAGTAGTGTGTCATCTGCAAAGACTAGATGACTAACCACAATAGAACCTTTACCCATGTGAAAAGGCTTGACTAAACTAGTCTGATATAGTTGTCTCAGTCCCCTGCTTAACACCTCCTCAGCTAGGATGAACAGACTAGGGGAAATGGGATCCCTTTGTCTGAGTCCTCTAGTAGAAGGGAAGAAGTCAAACCTTTGCCCATTAAAGCACAAAGAAACATTCTGATTGTTCAAACAATTAGAAATAATTGTCACAAACAAATTAGAGAAACCGAAACTAGAGAGAGTTTTCTTAAGAAAATCCCACTCCAGCCTATCATAGGCCTTCATCACATGTCCAACTTTGAAATGACATTAGCATCCTCAACTTTCCTGTCTAATTCCCCCACCATAAACTGACCCAAAGCAATACAATCACCAATGTTCCTAACCTGCACAAACCCACGTTGCTCTTCTGTAATCAAAAGAGAAACCAAAGCACCCAGACTCTTGGTCAAGAGCTTTGTAAATATCTTGTACAAAAAGTTGCAGAGACTAATTGGCCTAAAGTCTGAGAATGACATAGGATCATCCTTCTTTGGTATGAGAACCAACAAAGTAGCATTAGCAAATCTAGAACCACCCATCCTTTAAGAAAAAAATTTACTACCTCCAACAAATCTACCTTAATAATATCCCATGAAAACCAGAAAAACTTCCCAGAAAAATCATATGGGCTGGGGCCCTCTCAGTAGACATAGAAAACACCACTGCTCTTAACTCCTCCATAGTGGCCACCTCCACCAATTTCTCATTGTCCTCCTCCCAGGGATTACAGAGAAAAGTTCCTTTTTAACCTCATGCATCTCTAAAGTATATAGAGAAGAGTAAAATTCTTCTGCCACCCTCCTCATGAACCCATGCCCCTTCCTTATTCTAAATTCTTTTGATACCATTCCTTATAGCCTTCCCCTTGACCTCTGCATGATAAAATTTGGTATTCCTCTCACCCTCCATTGCCCCATTTTACATTTTTTTTTTATTCTAGTACAATTCCTCCAGACGAAGTACATTATCAAACTCCTTTTGAACCTCCTTCAAAGCCAAAGATTAGACTCTGAAGAATTTACCTCCAACTGAACCTCAGCTCCTGATATCTCTGCTTCATACTTCTTAATCTTCTCAAAGATATTGCCAAAAGCCTGCTTGTTCAAGGTTTTAATATGATACTTTAAAAATTTTAACTTCAAGAAAACATTTTCAATTTGGGTTATCTGAATGTCTCCCCACCCATTTTGAAATAACCAAAGGCAAAAAAGAGTCATCTTCTGGACATGAGGTAAGACACTTTACTTTGATCTACATTCTCCCTTGTCTTAGCAAGAAGAGCATAATGGTCAGACTTTCCTCTAGCTAAGTGTCTCATTTCAGTTATTCCAAATTTCAAACTCCATTTAGCATTAAAGTATACCTTATCCAATATCTGCCACATTCTTGTTCTCCCTTGGTGATTATTGCACCAAGGGAACCTACTACCATCGAAACTCCCATCTATCCATCCTCCATCAAAAAACTCCCCAAACTCTTCCATGGCCAGAAAAGAAGGCAAACCCTCTAACCTCTCTGCAGAGTTTAGGATGATATTAAAATCTCCCAACAACAATTTGGGTACAGAATTTGGACATTCAATGTTCAATAAATGCTACCACAGTTACCTTCTAATCACATACTCACAAGAAGCATATACAATTGTAACCTAAAAAACTTCAAAACCCAAAAAAGATACCTCTACAGTCATAGCCTATGCATGACACACCACAACCTTTACCTTCATTCTCTTATCCCACTAGATCCAAACATTCTTCTCTGCTAAAGAATTAGCAGAATAAAATTCAAAACCCAAACTCCTAGCAAAACCAGGTAGCTTAGTGGCTTCCATTTTGGGCTATTGAATAGCAATTAAGCTAAGATCATTCATATAAACTATTTTCCTTTATCTCCTCTTTTGGATACCTTAGCTACCCCACTCATATTTCAAGAAAGAATATTAATCATAAAGATTTCAAGAGAGACTTACCTCTAGAAATACTTCTAGTAACAGAATCTGGAGATGAGCCCACTTGCTAAAGCCTCTTTGAAAATGTCCTTACTACAGAATAATTTGTGTCCATTGCCTCACCCTCCATTGATCCCCCATAATCTGATTGATAACCTTTGTCTGAGGGTACCATAATAGGCATCAACCCTCTTTCATCATCCAAGGAAATATCACTCCCCCTCCTACATTCATACTGGTAATCAACCTAAAAGGAGGAACTCCTAGAGAGAGACCATTGGTTATTTAAAGAACAAACTAAAGGAGTAGTCAGATTCTCCATTACTGGAATTACTTGCACCACTGGATTACCTTGGATATCATTACTTGCACCCAAAGTGTCATGAGAAACTGACTTTTTCTCACCCAGATCCAACAGTTCTACTTCATCCAACTCCTTTTGATTCTCCTGAAGGTTTACAATTTCATGCACAGTTGGAAATCCAGTCTGCACACCCACAAGAATCTGAGCTTGTTGACCCTCTAATACCGTCTCATCAGACTCTATTTATTTATTACCCCCATCATCCTTGAAGACCTTACCCAAGAAATCTTCCCCCTCCATAGCTAACATATCCATTTTCCCATAGCAATCTCCTTTTTCCAAAACAAGAATCCTTCTTATTCAATTCAGAGATAGGATCTTGATTCAAGACAGCAAACATATTCTCCAGTTCATGATTCTGACCAATGGTTTTCTGTTTGAATTCTTTCCTCTGCCACCCTTGCAATTTGAATATCCTCATGAACCCATGCCCCTTCCTTATTCTGAATTCTTTTGATACCATTCCTTACAGCCTTCCCCTTGGCCACTGCATGATAAAATTTGGTGTTCCTCTCACCTTCCATTGCCCATTTTATATTTGCTTTCTACTTACAGTACAATTCCTCTAGCAAAGTACATTATCAAACTCCTTTTGAGCCTCCTTCAAAGCCAAAAGATTAAACTCTGAAGGATTTACCTCCAATTGAACCTCAGCTCCGGATAACTCAGCTTCATACTTCTTAATCTTCTCAAAGATACTGCCAAAAACCTCATTGTTCCAGGTTTTAATATGATACTATAAAAATTTTAACTTCTAGAAAACATTTTCAATTGGGTTATCTGAATGTCCCCCCACCCATTTTGAAATAACCAAAGACAAAAAGGAGTCATATTCTGTCCACATGTCCAAAAATTTGAAGTAAGACACTTTACTCCGACCTACATTCTCCCTTGTCTTAGCAAGAAGAAGATAGTGGTCAGACTTTCCTCTAGCTAAGCATCTCAATTCCGTTATTCCAAATTTCAAACTCCATTCAGCATTAAATAATACCCTATCCAACCTCTGGCAAATTCTTGTTCTCCCTTAGTGATTATTGCACCAAGTGAACCTACTACCATCTAAACTCACATCTATCCATCCTCCATCAGAAACAAACCCCCCAAACTTCTCCATGCCCTGAAAAGAAGGCAAAGACCCTCTAACCTCTCTGCAGAGTTTAGGATGACATTAAAATCCCATAACAACAATCTGGGTACAGAATCTAGACATTCAATGTTCAACAAATGCTACCACAATTGCCTTCTAATCACATACTCATATGAAGTATATGCAATTGTAACCCAAAGAACTTCATAACCCAAAAAAGCCACCTCTACAGTCATAGCCTGTGCATGACACACCACAACCTTTACCTTCATTTTCTTATCCCACAAGATCCAAATATTCTTCTCTGCTAAAGAATTAGCAGAATAAAATTCAAAACCCAAACTCCTAGCAAAACTAGATAGCTTAATGACTTCCATTTTGGGCACTTGAATAGCAATTAAGCAAACATCATTCATATAAACTATTTTCCTTAATCTCCTTCTTTGGACAGCCTTAGCTACCCCCTCATATTCCAATAAAGAATATTAATCATAAATATTGTAAGAGAGACTTTCCTCTAGAAATGCTTCTAGTAACAGAATTTGGAGATGAGTCCGCTTGCTGAAGCCTCTTTGAAAAAGTCAGTACTGTAGAGTCATCTATGTTCACTGCCTCACCCTCCAATGTTGCCCCATAATCTGAGTTATAACCTTTGTCTAAGGGTACCCTAATAGGCATCAACCCTCTTTCATCATCCAAGGAAAGATCACTCCCAGTCCTACATTCATATTGGTGATCAACCCAAAAGGAGGAAATCCTAGAGAGAGACCATTGGTTATTCAAAGAATAAACTAGAGAAGTAGTCATATTCTCCATTACTGGAATTACTTGCACCATTGGATTACCTTGGACATCATTACTTGCGCCCAAAGTGGCATGAGAAACTGAATTTTTCTCAACCTGATCCAACAGTTCCAATTCATCCAACACCTTTTGATTGTTCTGAAGGTTTACAATTTCATGCACAGTTGGAAATCTAGTCTGCACATACACAAGAATCTGAGCTTTCTGACCCTCTACTACCGTCTCATTAGACTCTACTTCTTTATTACCCCCATCATCCTTCAAGACCTTATCCAAGAAATCTTCCCCCTCCATATCTAACATATCCATTTTCCCAGAACAATCTCTTTTTTACAAACAAGAATCCTTATTATTCAATTCAGAGATAGGATCTTGATTCAAGACAGCAAATATATTCCCCAGTTCATGATTCTGAACAATTGTTTTCTGTTTGAATTCTTTCCTTTGCTTCCTTTTTGAACCTCCTACATCACCTCTTTCCCCTTCTCATTTTTCCTTACAACTTCTTGATCCTTTTTACCCAAAACAGCACCTCTGAATCTTTCTCACTCATAGGGCTTATGATGTTCTCACCTTTCACATTATCATCTTCCTTTTTCTTCTTTCTGCACATCAAGTCATCCTTGTTTCAAACACACAACACAATACTTACAATCTTTTCATAAACAATTCGTTGCCACCTCCCACTCGATCCTCCCATGTCAAGCCTAGGATTATTTGCAAGAAAATTTACCTCAACATAGACCTTATCCACCCCAGGCCTAGACAATTATAAAGTAGGGTTGTCAATCACTAAAATGCGACCAATTGGGCTCAGAATATCGCGAAGACTATCCCTATTGAAAAGGTGAATTGGCAACCTAGGAAGAGATACCCACACAGGAACAATTGGAGGCTCAACCCCGGCTAGAATTCAGGAAACCACTTGAAGAATCTCAAGAGAAACCCTTCGATGTATGCGGCATCCTTCAACTACGTTTTCACATAATCCTCAAAAAGGTTGAACCAAATGAGTACATGCCTTGGATCTAAGATGCTAACAGAGAACTCACCCTTGGGCAACCATCGAGAAGCAATAAACTCCCTAATCACCCCCAAAGATGGTTTCCCGTATGCACATTTACCAATTAGCGTGTGGTGGAACCCCTTCGACAGTTCGAGGGTCTCATCTGGTGTCCAAAACATACCAGCTTCTCTGTTATCGTAGACAACCCTCTTCGCTAGTTTGAGTGGAAAGGAAGGAGTAGAAGGCATATTTTGGGAATTATCTTAACCCAGCATTTCCAGAAACTTGGCCATTTATAGGCAAGTTCGACGAATTCAAAGGAATTGACAAATTTGTTAAGAGTGATGCAAAACTTCTGATGATATCAGGCGTTTTGGAGTAATTTGACTTTGAATCTGATCAAAATTCATGAAGAAAACAAGAAATTTGGATAAGAATGAAGAAATTTTGAAGAAAAATGATGAACAGGGTAGAGAGAGGTGAGAGGTTTCTCTCTCTAAAATCCAAATAACTGCCATGGTCCTAACCCTAATCCTAACCCTAACCCTAACCCTGACCTGAATATTGCCTGAATTAATTTCGAGTACTAACTCGAATCCTAACCCTAACCCGAATATTACCTGAGTTAATTTCGAGTAGAGCTTATGTTGAAATCGAGTTACCTAATTCAGGTTGGCATTTCAGATTTAACAAAAAATAATCCTATTCAGGTGAAACTCATCAAAATAGCTTATTGTCACACCCTAATTGACTTGGGTGAAAATGACTGATTTTGGTGGCACCTTACACCAAGGCATGCCAAAAATCGGAATCAAGGTGATGCGACTAAGTTGTTCGACAGATTGGGGCGAACCAAGGCAATATGAGACCACCCGGTTGAACATGGCAGCATGGGTGGGCTCAATTGAAGCAATGTGGGTGCAGAGCTTCGGATTGCATGGCAGGGGTTGAACCCAGCATGTACATTGGTTCGTGTAGCAAGATTGATTGCTGAATGTGGGCACATGGCTGCTGAATGTGGGCACCTGACTGGCACATGGCTACTCAATGCATGTGACCAGGAGGATGTGGGCGGTTATGATGCTGAAACTCAGTCAAGGCAGTTGCTGAGGCAGTTCTAGACGTCCCCAGTTTGAATCCAGTCTAGATGCATACTGCTGAAGGGCAGTTCCACAGCAGTTACTGAAAGCGGTGGAACTGTCTGCCAGGTGTTGCACAGAGACCAAGCCTGTTAGCCCAATATGCTATGGAATAGCAAAAACGTGGGTAACTACCCCTTGGCAGATGGGAGTGTCATCTGCCTTCCTCTTGTATAAATAGGGGTGTTTGAGCATTCTGGAGAGAGGGAGAGTGTTCTGGCTTTGAGAGTTCTTGTAAATTGTTGAGTTCAATATATACAGTTTGGGAGTGTTATCCCAATAAATTCGTGTGTGCCTTCTGTGTGAGTTTCTGTCCCTTATTCTTGAGTTTGAGTGTGGCTGGTTGTAATAGCAACGCCTTCACAGGTAGCCTCAAAAGAAAAACGAAAGTTACCCTGTGACAGTTTGGTATCAGAGCGTAGTTTTGGCAACAGATCAACTATGGCTGGCAGAACGAATGCTGATCTGAGGGAAATGGTGGCACGTTTGAAGGAGTTGGTTGGTCCTCCACAGTCTTGTGATGTTGTAGCTCTCTTTGTACAGCTTGAGTTGCTATATCAGCGGTTCGAAGAGATGCGTGTTGCACATGAAAAGCTTCAAAAGACTGAATCTAATCACTTCAATCGAGTGAAAAATGAAGTCGTTGACGTGTTGGCTACGATCTCCACATGGACCGATGATATGGGGGGAAAATTGAGTTCCCTCAAGACCGACACTTCAGTGCTTAAGAGGGCATTGCAGAATGCTTATGTGGCTTCTGGCAGTGAAAGCACTCAGAAAGCTAAAGTGTCTGACCCTAAGCTTTTCACAGGCAGTCGAAATGCTAAAGAACTCGAGAACTTTCTGTGGGATATGGGGCACTACTTCAAAGCAGTCCGCACTCCAGATGCTGAGAAGGTAGATCTCACTAGCATATACCTGTCTGGTGATACTAAATTATGGTAGCGAACACGTTCTGAGGACAAATCTCGTCCTCCAATTACTACTTGGGAGTCTTTGTCTGCTGAAATGAAGGAGCAATTCCTTCCCAGCAACACGACTTGGCAAGCCCGTGATGCATTGAGGAAACTTCGACATACAAGCACCGTGAGGGAGTGCATGAAACAATTCTCGTCTCTGATGCTTGACATTAAAAATATGTCAGAGGAAGACAAGCTATTCAACTTTATGTCTGGCCTCCAAACTTGGGCACAGACAGAACTTCGTCGGCAAGGGCTGAAGGACTTACCCGCTGCTATGTCCGCAGCAGACGCGCTGGTTGATTACAAAACGTAGGCTAATCCTCCAGAGAATGAGTCAAAAGGGAAAGCCAAGTTTGCTAAGAAGGATAAGCAAAAGAAAAAGGCTGAGAAGTTTGACAATTCAGAAAAATAGACTGACAAAGCCTCTTCATCAAAGGGAGGTGTTGACTTAGGTTGTTTTATCTGTAATGGCCCTCATCGTGCCAGAAATTGCCCCAAGAAGGAAAAGCTCAGTGCCCTCATGGCTGAGGAAACTGACTGTTCTGACGAACCAACACGAGTCAACCCATTACAACTTCTTAATGCAATTCGCAAAGAGAAGACAGTGGCAAAGAGGGGGTTGATGTTTGTGCAGATTCGCCTGAACAATGTGGCTGTCCAAGCAATGATTGATACAGGTGCAACCTATAATTTTGTTTCTGATCGGGAGGTACAACGACTTGGTCTAGCTTTGGTGAAAGACTCTAGCCAGATTAAGGCTGTTAATTCAGAGGCAAAACCAGTAGGCGGCGTCGCAAGAGAAGTACCTCTAAAAGTGGGTGATTGGCAAGGAACATGTGATTTATGGCAGTCCCTCTCGATGATTTCTAGGTAATCCTTGGACTGCAATTCCTTACAAAGGCAATGGTGTCTGTTATACCGCATTTACATGGGATACTCGTCATGGACATGCCCAATCCTTGTTTTGTTCCCCTCATTAAGGCCAAGTCTTCGGGAAAAATGTTGTCTGCCTTACAAGTAAAAGATGGCTTGCGAAAGGGGGAGGCAACATACTTGGTCGTTCTATTTGAGGAAGAGGATTCCAAAGCATTGCAAGTCCCTGAACCAGTGCAACAGTTGCTAGTTGAGTTCAAGGATGTGGCACCTAAAGAATTGCCAGCAAGGTTACCGCCAAGACAGGAGATTGACCATGCCATTGAGTTAATTGCAGGGGCAAAAATCCCTGCACAGGCTCCTTATCGAATGTCTCCATCAGAATTGGCGAAGCTAAGGAGACAACTTGGGGGTTTATTGGACATTGGGTTCATTCAACCTTCCAAGGCACCCTATGGAGCTCCTATTTTGTTTCAGAAAAAAGAAAGATGGATCCTTACGGCTTTGTGTAGACTACAGAGCGCTCAACAAAGTTACTATCAAGAACAACTATCCAGTGCCGTTTGTCGATGAACTATTTGATAGATTGGGAAAGGCGGTTTTCTTTACCAAGATGGATTTGCGGTTGGGATATCATCAAGTCAGAATTGCAGAGGGAGATGAGACGAAGACTGCTTGTGTGACAAAGTACGGGTCATATGAGTTTTTAGTTATGCCTTTCGAATTAACCAATGCCCCTACTACATTCTGTAACTTGATGACCAATGTATTTCGGGAATACTTGGACCGCTTCATGGTGATTTATTTGGATGACATAGTTGTTTATAACCAGACTCTTGAGGAGCATGTTGAGCATCTTAGGCTGGCCTTGACAAAGTTAAGGAAAGCCCAGTTATATCTGAAACCAGAAAAATGTGAGTTTGCCCAGAAGGAAATTTCATTCCTGGGGCATATTATTTCTGCGGGCGTGGTGAAGATGAATCCGAAAAAAGTTGAGGCCATTGCAGATTGGCCTGTCCCTACTAAGGTTACTGAACTGCATTCTTTCCTTGGTTTGGCAAACTATTATCGAAAATTCGTGAAGAATTATTCAAAGAAGGTCGCGGTGCTGATTGATCTTCTAAGGAAGGATAGGACATGGAACTGGTCCTACGAATGCCAGGAGGCATTCGATCGATTGAAGGCGGTGGTGACATCTAGCCCAATTTTACGCTTACCTGATTTTGATTTGCCCTTTGAAGTCCATACAGACGCATCAGACTTTGCTCTTGGAGGGGTGCTGGTGCAGAATGGGCATCCAGTGGCATTTGAAAGTAGGAAACTGAAAGA